GTCATAATATGGCAAGTTTCGTAGGGAGGAGCAAATGAAGGAAAGTTCCAATCACATCTTTGTTGATATCTCGCAGTGGAGCCGTTCGAAGATGATTATCGTAGGAAGGTGCAATCGAAGGAAAGTTCCACATGTTCGCTGATATCTCGTTTCCTTCTTGCGTTGAGAGTTGCGGATGAAAGCCACAGTCTCACAAATAGAGTCGCCCAAATAAATGAATCATTATCCAACCCGTTTGAAATATTGAGGAAGTCCATTTTGATGACATGGCTGATGAAGTGTCAAAAAAATCCCAGTCAGCATGCCAAATGTCGCGATTCTAAGAGTTCAACTCTCCTTTTTTATATATAAAGGATATAAAGGATAGTCGAGTCATATCATAATATATAAAATTTTAAAGGATTATATTGTTTATAACTAAAAAGAAATTTTTATACAATCCTTTTTTAATTATGAAATATTATAAAAGGTTAAGTGAAATTGTAACAAAAATGACTCTAGCTTGGTTGGTAAGGAACTCATCTAATTGACTAAGAGATATTGGGTTCAAATCTCATGGTGGTATGCTTTTGGAAAAAAACTGCAAAAAAAAAAAAAACTGGTCCGACCGGTTCGACCGACTGATTTGTCTAAAAGGGTGACACATCAGCTCTGCCACATGTCGCGCTTTAGCTCTGCCAAATGTCACGTATAAAAGGTTAAGTGAAATTGTAACAAAAATGACTCTAGCTTGGTTGGTAAGGAACTCATCTAATTGACTAAGAGATCTTGGGTTCAAATCTCATGGTGATATGCTTTTGGAAAAAAACTTCAAAAAAAAAAAACTGGTCCGACCGGTTCGACCGACTGATTTGTCTAAAAGGGTGACACATCAGCTCTGCCACATGTCGCGCTTTAGCTCTGCCAAATGTCACGTTCTTGTAGCTCGGAGTCTCCTTTATATATATATAAAGGATTACCTTCTCGGTCCCACTATTTTTGGAATGTGAGAGTGTTTTAAAAATATCAAAATAAATAAATTATATGGTACATATTGATATTAACAAAATAAAATAAATAAGATAATGTAGAAATATATATGAATCTCACAACTATGACATGAAATAATAGTAATGAAATAGAAAAATAAAAGATAAACAAAATAAGTAAATGACTGAACACCACAAAAAAGTACAAGTAAATGATAGGGCTTTTTGGGCTGATCTATTTTGAGCACAATAGAGAAGGATGTAGGATTTTGACCAAGTTAAGTGTATTAAAGATAAGAATTGTGAAATGTTGGTCACCCATAAACGGGCAATTATATGTTTAATGAGGATATGTGAATTTCTCACACCCCGATCAGATACACATGAGAGAAGAGGATCAAAACTTCAGTTATTATCAGAAAATTTGAAAAAATTAAAGTTAAGGAGATCGAAAAAACAGATAAAGAACACAAAGGAAATCCTAAAACAGATAAAGAACACCATAACAGTGAGCTCAAACAACATCACATACGATTACCATTTGAAAAAGTTTAGAAGGGAGGCATTGTGTAGCTAACTAAGCTTTTTAACAAGATTCTATGATCTAAGAAAATATGTAACGAATGGAGAAAGAACATTTTGGCCTTTATTAAGAAGAACAAGGGGTACTCAGAGTTAATCTTATTGTCAAAATAATCATTTTATACATATGAACAGTATTCATTTGTAGCTGCAAGAAGATCCAGATGTACAATAAGCCTATTCTAAATTTTGACCATATGTAAATTGACTTCATTACTGTAAGAGGCAAATTATATTCTCTTTTTATATATTTTCATTAATCATCGATAAAATACGGATTGATCAGTGATATAAACTCCTGCTCAGTATATATATAGCTGTCGACGGGTAATGCCTCGCGCAACTTCAGGTCCACCATGTGGTTGATATCTGGACTCAGTACTCGTCATCCCAAGGAATGGATTCCAAAGTTCTGCTTGGGCAGTTGGGCTAATAACCAGAACCACATTTGGTAGAAGTGGTGATGCAAGTCTTCTTCAATGGGAGATGAGAAGATCACGTTCGTTCCTGGGTAGAATTGGTCCTAGACATAGTGGGCAATTCCTGGTACTCGTCGGGTTCGTCATCCTCGTCAGAGGACAAGAAAGATGGGCCCATCCATGCCTTAAAACCTTCGTGTATGCGTCTCTCTGTATCTGGGGTGATTTCAACAGGATGAGCTTCAAGCATTTCTAGCCCAAGATTGTGCCCAGCGAAGCCACCTTCATCTAGATTTACAGCAGCTTTTCTTTTCAAGAAGAAGGCTGTTCCTGCGTAAAGAATCACCAGCCCACACGACGTGATTTCGTAACACCAAAACAAGGGCACAGAGCAACTACTCCCAAGAGTGAGCAGCGTTGAGCCAAGAAACAGAGCCAGAGTCCCAAATATGATGGCAAATAAGGTGTTGAGAATGGATAAACATCTCACTCCACCTGTCGTCAAAAACATGAATTAGTAAAGTAAAATAGCAAATACAGAACAAGAACTTATCCGTCTAAGAAAAAGAGTTATGTTTGGTCTGTTAGGAATCAGAGATCAGAGGCGGTCAAGCGGAAGCGAACAAACACACACACACAAATAGCAGAAAATAAGAACACGAGATTTAACGTGGTTCGGTCAGTAAACTACTCCACGGGTTGCAGCTAGGGTTTATCTTTTATTAGGTGCTCACAGATTATAGTTACATGATTGGGTATTTATAAGATATAAACTAGGGTTAACAACTTGCTAAACAAGAAACAACTAATGGGCCCTTTAATTAATAACTAAAACCGGCCCCCCATGTTTCTTCCCTTTAGCCGACCAGGCTTAAAGCCCACAGCTCTAAAGCCTTCACCGAATAACCCAACA